TGGGGCTAATTAGAGCAGATGCATTGCATACAAAATACATTGTTTCAATGCATTTTATAAGCAAATATTTCCACAAATAAAATACTGAACATGACACTTTAAAAAAAAAAATTACAGCGTCTTCAGTGCGTCACATAAAGTTAAACAGCATGATTTACTGACTGAACCTGTCTGTAGCGGGGCAGTGTGCTTTGATTTCTGTTCTGTGGTGACAGGCGGATGCTGGGTAGGTAAAGTCTTATTTTGAATCATAAATATCACAGCTGTCAGTTGGAATCATGTTTACATTAAAGCATGGGACTCACAAGAGCATGAAACAAAAGAAAAGTGCAGCTGAAGCGAGGAATGTCTTGCGTGTAGAGACGCAACACGTGTTTTCTCCATTATTTAAAAAAAGCATTCAGTGTTTAAAATGATCATGAATTTTGACAAGTCCAGACATTGCAACAAATGGACGTTGGTTTCATTTTATCAGACAACACAAAAGAAATTACCGTCTACAGACAGTCGTTTTTATGATGAGCAACAAATTATGAATAGATTTCATCTTTAATCTCTCCCGAATCCAATCAGAAGCAAAGTTACTTTTCTTAAGGGAGACCATTAAATCTGTGCTTGCAATTAGTGATAACATGCATGTGCGTGCACAGATCTTTAATTTCTGGTTAAATTTTGCTTCACTTAAAGAGATATAGTTGCTTTTTCTAGTGGTTTTTGTTTCTAGTCATAAAAAAACAGATTTTTCTTTTAAACCTGTAAGTGTTTTATCCAGGACATAAAAACCTGACCTGGCATTTACTCAGGCCTTGCAGTAGGAATGTTTTCTCCAGGCTGACCTCCGATCACGTGCAGACCCTCTCCCAAGAGGCAGAGCCTAACTAAAAGACAACTGATCTGCTTCCATGTTGGCACATGAACCTGAATCTGAACTGAGTTGCTCTCAGTAAAACGGATTTCCGCGGATCAGGTGCCAAATTGCCAATATTCTGCCACATTTTAAAGCCGGTGACTGACTGTCACCCACCGCAGCGAGGGGAAGCTCTGTGGCTCACTCTGTCGCCTCTGTTTGCCCAGATGCTACGTCTGTGAAGCTGCATGTCTGCACAGGGTGTTCCCGTACTTTGCAGTCAATGCATAATAAGAAGCAGTATAGATAATCAATGAAGGACGGTGCTCTTGTCAAGACTAGAAAAGCCTGTGAAGAAGTACCAGCACAGCGCAGCATTGAAGCAACGATGAAGATGTGGCTCAGACTTGGCATAAAATTTGATCAGGCTGTCTCATTATGAAAAAATTCAGGTTAAGGACTTGTATTATTTATATCTCTAGATTCATATAAATGCCCCCTTTTCAGCAGCGCCTGTTCCTCTAATCACTAATCACGTTGATGCAAATGAGGATGAAATTGGTGCACTCGGTTTCTGGACGTGAATTCTTCGCTCGGGTGCTTTTGTTTGGTGAGACGGTGTGTGCGTGTGTGCAAAGAAAAAGAGAGAAGGTCTTCAAGCGTCTCGCTTGTATGAGACACTTGTGTTGCAAACCGTATTTTACGCCGCATGTAGACTCAGACTGGGGCGAATTAACAGACAATACGACATGTCAAATCAGCGTGGCAGCCTGATTGGCTGACTGATTGAATCAGATCACATCATGGAGAAAATTTAGGTCTGTGTGTGCGTGTGTGTGTGTGTGTGTGTGTGTGTGTGTGCGGACTGGGGAATACCCTTTCACTGGAACAGTCTGGAATCACGAGACTGTTGCCATGGCAACCCAAGAATGGGAATTTCTCTAGCAACAGACAGGATGGAGGGGAGATACTGGGAATTGTGGGAATGTCACCTCGACGACAGTGGGGAGATGACTGTAGCGGCGGCTGCTTCGTACGGTGGGAGGAGTGGATGAGCAGGTGACTCTTAGAGGGTTATTGATTTTTTTTTGTGTTTGTCTTTTTTCATCTTTTATAGCAGCGAGTTATGCAAAGACCAACATTCACCACTTTTAAATACATGAGTGTATTGTTTTCACGCTAAACTCCTGACAGCGTGGTGTTCAGGTGAAGGCTAACACAGTTGAATTCGATCATCTTATGGAGTTAGGTAGGTTGTTATATACAGACGGGGAACAAATGAAAAACTCAACAACAAAATTATCAGAAAAGATATTTGTTTATTTAGTGTTTTGACCATGAAAGACCATGAATGATGATTTTTATTTGGGGGGGGGTCTTCCAGAGGACTTCTGTCACTTTTGCTTCACCATCTGTTCAGAACTTTATATTCTCTCACCTGTAAATAAGATAAAGCTAAAGAGGAGCCATGTTGCTGGTGCAGACTGTGGAACTGGAAACCGCTAGCTAGCACCTCTTTCTTGATGACATCACTTACGTCACAACACACGGCAGCTTTGACTGATGTCTCTCAGCCACAAAAAACCCCCCACAAAACATTTCATGACTCTATGATCACCCGATCTTTAACGACGACCATCGCAGCTGACGACAAGCCTGAGCCGAGCATGAGTCAGTCCTACCATTCAG